CACCACCACCACGGCTCTTAACGCTAGGCCTGGCACTAAGCAGGTACTGGATCAATATTTGTTTAATGAATGAATAAATCGGTGAAGACAATTCACCTGTGTTCTCCTTCTACTCAGACGAATGCTGGGTTTTCCTAACACAATACTTTCCAGCTTCTTATCAGCCCTGGACATTCAAAACCTTGCAATAAGTAGAAGAGAGGATAATTCCTCCTGGCAAACAAACAGGTTCACAGAGGTTTCCTGGCTTTCCTAAATTCACCCTCCAAGAAGCATCCAGTCAGAGCCTGGCGGTTTTCAGGCCCAGCTCATGGCTTCTGGGATTTAAACCCACGGACAAGGTGTTGTTCCTGGCTGGACAAACAGCCAGAGCGTTGTGAGCAGTGACCTGGACATTTCTACCACATAGGTCTGCTTTACAGCCCATATCTGGAGAAGCAGTAGGTCATGGCTACCAGAGTCCCTAGCCTCTTCTTCCTTCTGTCCCCCACCACCCAAGTTTTCCAGAATCTAGTCTCTTTGACACTCTGTAATCTTACAAAATTGCAGATGCCAGCAATACCAAGCTTCCATTTGTTGTGCCCTAAAGGCATAATAAGGTGAACAGAGCTTAGGCTCAAATCACAACCCTGCGATGTGTCTGAGTGCCACATTATTCTCAGTCACAAAATGGGAATGATGTCGGTGCCCAGAGTAGTTGTCAGGACTCAATAAAGCTATGCGTTCAGAACACATAGAGCTTAGTCTACCATGCACCGGTACCTCTCCTGCACCACAACCACTCTGGGAGGTGTAGCTGGGGAAACTGAGGCTCAGTAACATTTCAAGGTTTTGCAACAGGGTTCTCTCTGCTGACCCTTGCAAGAAGGCATCTTCCAGGGCAGGACTGCAAGACTCCAAAGTCCCGCGCTTTATGAGGCTGGGTATTCAGTGGAATCGCAAAGAACACTGCCACTTGGAAGAGAAAGCTGGAGTAAAGCACGCTGAGCTCATAGAGTTAAATTCTCAGTGTCACCTGGGTGGAGTGGAACTTTTTAATGAGTAAGAGCAATCCTTCCAGTCTTCTGGGGACTGGGGAGAGAATGTCCTTACCTTCTACGGGAGTCGCAGAGCAGCCTGCTAGCACCCCTACATGCTGACCCGAGGTGCACTAGGATTTGATCACACCTGCTTCCCCAGGCCTGCACCCACTCCACCCACAGAGCTTTCCAATTAGATGACTAAAAGGCATGAGCTACATTATTGCACAATGGAACCTGCCATGCAAAAATCTCTAAAACGAAAGCAAGTTTCTGCGGTTGTTAGCATGCCTTCTGGGTCCCAGTACCCCGTTAACCCGAATTCCCCCACACGGTCCCCAAGGTAACTCTCTAAACCCCTGTCCCAAGTCCCCTGCTCTTTGCCACCTTACAGCAAATGCTCTTTACTGGAGGGGAGGAGGGGATCTTGCCCTTTGAAAATGCTCAGCACCCTCCCACCCTGCTAGCTGGGTTGCAGAGTTTGTAAAGGAAGGGTCTTTTCAGAGAAAGTGATGAAAAAATCACAGTGGGCACCGGGGGCTTTATAAAGTAAACAAATTCAGTTTTGTTCACTTGAAAGGGAAATAAACTTGCCTTAGCACATGAAAGCAGGCAAATCCGTCCTTCTTACAGGAGACAGGAACATGATGAGTAAAGTGTAATCCGAAAGACAGGTACAGGGATCGGAGGCCGAGCATTTCTCCTGTCTGCGCCCAGGAAAGCAAGGTGGAGGAAACCGCCCTCCCTGAAACCTCCGAAGAAGCCCGAGCTCCCTCCCACACTAGTCTTCCCACATTCTAACACACTGTCTACACCCCAAATCCCAAATCAGTGTCATCGCCGACCACCCAGACCTCTTCTCAGTTTGCACCTCCACCCGGAGTCTTCCGCATCCACTCTTCCTTAAAGGCCTCTCTTCTCTCCTCCAAGACAGAAGGGATCATCTCTTCGCTCCACACTCAGAAAAGCAATTTGTTTGGCCTGTTCTCTGTGTTTGTGTCTGTGTCATGGGTTAAAGCACCTCCCGCAGGTAACAACGGCAATTCAAGGACGCTCTCTTGACTTTCTGTCCTGTGATATTTGTGTGGCATCAAAGTTCCCCTCAAGCTCCAGCAGACAAAATCTGAAGGAGGACCTTTTGCTTCTTCCACAGGCTGCCAAATAAGCCACACAAGAAAAGACAGCAACCTAAACTCCGGGGTTTTGGGGCCGCAGGGACCACGGAGGTCACTGTGACGGGCGTATTTGTCTACACGTTGCAACCCCCTTGTCTACAGGGATAAAAGTTAGCCCGCACCCACACCCGCTGAACCCTAGAGGCACCTAGGAGGCCGCTCACACACAGCTGGAAACATGAGACGGACAAAGACATTCTGTATACTAGAATTCCTCCATGGAAAGTGGGCGGGATTAGACAGAATATTTGGCTCGGGGACTTCAGATTGAAGTTTGATGCCTAAGAACCGTGACCGGCTGACGAGAGATTTATCCCTAAACTGCCCCCAATGACAAGTGTTTACCTTCCAGCCATCCCTCTTCTTCTTCCCTAAGAGTTTCCTGAATTTCTCTGCTGTCAGCTTTCCCCTCATTTGACCCAACGTCCCTTCCTCCCTTCAGGAGGGCACCCTGACTAGGCTTAGTCAGGGGTCAGCAAACTAAAGCCCACAGGTCAGAGATTGAGCTCAGTGGTTCTGCCACCTGCTTTACAAGCACAAGGTCCTGAGTCCCATTCCTGGTACCAACAAACTAACTAACTAACTAACTAACTAAAGCCCATGGATCAAGTGGTTGCCTATAAAGGAGGATGGATTGTACATTTTCAAAAGATTGGAAAAAAATAAAGAAAGAAGAAAAATGTTTCTTGGGACGGAAGTCAGATAAAATACAATTTGTACATCTAACACGTATAAGTCAGCGGGGTTTTTTTTGTTGTTTTTTTTTTTTTTTTAGTATATTCACTGCCTTTTATAACTATCACCACAAAAAATTTTAGAGCATTTTCATCACACCAAAAAAGAAACCCCTGATGCCTTAAGCTATCACCCTAGAAATTTCCCATCCCCTCGATCCCTAAGTCCATAAGACTTTTCTGTTCCGGCCACCGCACCACGCACACAAAGTCCTAATGGAACACGTCCGTACTCACACTGTCCATGGCTCCTTTTGCATTGTGATAGCAGAACTGAATTACTGTAACAGAGGCCGTACGTCTCGCAAAGCAAAATTTACTATCTGGTTGCCGACAGAAAAAGATTACAGAATTCTAGTCTAAATCAAGAAGTACTGAACCTTTGTTTGAAGCCAATTTTTTGGAATAAGGATGAACTCTTTTAGGGCCTTGTAGGATGTGACTCGGTGGCCATCAGAAGCTATCTAGACCATAAGAGGAGAGCAAGGAGAGTGTTACAGCTGAGACAGAGAGAAAGTAGATGATAGATACGTGGAAAAAAAAACCATCCCGAGACCTACCTTCCTCTGGATTTCCAGTCCTGTGAAATTTCCTTATTCTTTAATGAAACAGTTTGTTGTCTACAGCCAAGATCATCCTACCAGCTAAACCTCTTCCTAAAGAGAATGGTCAAGGGGCACCTGCTGTTTTCTGCCAAAGGTGAATTACTCTGGACAGCAGAGTAAGGCTCAGCACCATCGCCCCAAATCTCTCTTGGCTGCTCTTCTCCCCCACGCAATGCTTGTCTCAGAAGCGGTTGCTGAGGGTTAGGAGGGCACACTGACCCCCTGGCCTACCTACCTGCTTGTCCCTCTGTCCCCAGTTTCACATCCAGCCAGCCCAATTTTGAGATGCAGCCCTTCATCTCTTTTATAAGTAGATAAATGAAACAAGAATCGGTCTGGGTAGAGTATAGAAGCCCTACACTGTGCAGATGTGAGTTGTGTGGAGTCTGATCTGTGCCTCCCTTTTCCCCGGGCACCAGAGGGCATTCCACAGAGCAGGAACTGCAAGAGCTACTTCCTGTTTAAGAAAGCGGGTAACACAGTCAGGTGTGCTTGCTTTCCCTTCTTTTCTTCCTCCCTCTCTTCTCCCTTTCCTGTCTCTTCCCTCACCCACTCAACTCCTTCCTTCTTTTTATCCTTCCTTTTTGCATGCATTCACTCAGTTTAGAAGTTCTGCTATTTGAAACTGGGGGCAGTATTTTGGGTTTTTTTATTTCCTCCTCATGCTTTTCTGAGTTACCATGTTCACAACGAACATGTACTTTTTGCAATCAAAATTGAACATTTTAAGATACTCACCTCGTCATTATTTTTCCCCAGGTTACCCTGAGGCCTCAGTTGCTCAGCAGTGTGGCTGTTCGCTGTTGAGATGAGAGTCATTTTAAATTCAGAAAAGTGGTGTAAGTCCAAATGTTGCAAGACAAAAGCATTTTCAGTCATTGATGTGGCAGCAAAAACAAGTGGCAGGATTTAGGTCCCCAAGCCCTGACCTCGTCCCCAGCTCATTGTGTGGTATCAGCCAGGGAGTTTCCTTCCACTCTCCAGGCTCACAGAAGCATTTCCTGTTGTCTCCTAGTCCTTCTCAAGATGAATTGAATAATCAATTTCTATATCCCTCAAGTACCCCTGTCCATTCCTCCATTATAGCTCTCATCTGGCTGAATTTTAAAAATTCTTTAACAAAATTCCTCAGCTGTGGAGTGAATGCTTTATAGGGAAAAAACAAAAAACAAAAAAACCTCTCTTTTTTGTCTCAGTTTCTCTGGATGTAATAGAGCCTATCCATTTGATAAATGGTTTCCAGAGGAATGAATAAGCAGCTTGCATTATTCAGTCTATACCATAAGGCAGTTGACCAAACTCCTGTCCTTTGCATCCCTCAAGCTGAATTATCCTCTGATTGCTAAATGATCTATAAAAGAAGTATTTATGAAAACCGCAGCATATCATTTAGAAATTCTTTTGGACTGAAAGTGACAAACGCCCAGACAATAGCATCTGAAGTGAGACACTGTTCATTTTTCTCTCCTGTTGAAGATGTGCAGAGATGGGTACCCAGTCATCAGAGTCGGCACCTCCTGGTCCTGCTCTGCCATCTTTGATGAATAGTGGCTCTTTCTAGAGTGCTCTCGTGGTCCTTAGAGACTGCTGGCGTCCCCGTCATTATGTAGATGTTTCAGGCACCTGGGAGGGGAGAGTGAAAAAGAGCAAAGAACATATTTCCTTTGTGAGTCGGCTCCTTTTCAAGCCCCCGCCAATGACTTGCACGTACAACATGTTTCTATGGTGGGGGGCGCTGGAAGGTATAAAATCACAGCCAGGCAAATTGTCACGCCCAACATTAGATGGGCCTCTTGCTCAACAGGACGGGGAAACGGGAAGTGGAGGCAGGGAAGGAAGTGTCTGCCCTCCTCGGCAAGTGAAGTCAGCTTGCTAGAGGGTCAGGGTCGGCCTCTGACAGTTGGCTCTTCGGGTCTGCTGAGAGACTTCCTCTAAGTAGCCACTAGGGGCATCAGGTTGCCTATCTGCACAGGACAGCCAGCCGATTTGGTAGAATCTGATCTGAGATGCTGCTATGCACCTACTCAGTGTGTTAGACAAAAATCTTACACTGTCGAAATGATCCTTAAAAATATTTCCATTTAGCCATTAGGAACAAGCATTTTCTCACTTTTTCCCACACGGAACTGTACCTCTTCACCCATGAGCGTCATGGGTACAAACATCCCCACTACAAAGCCCTGGGGTCTGTGACATACTCGGGAAGCACCATGCAGACGTCTTGTGACACCCACTGATTCGGGCACGCAGAAGCTGAGTGCACAGAAACATTTCAAAGACAACCAGTGAAATTCCCCATTCGCTCTTAGGCTCTCCGTCTTTGCATTGCGATATAGCGAGTTAAATCTGTGTACGTCACTTCCCCAAACTCATCATCCCGGGTATCTAGCTTGAAGTCTAATAAAAACTGTAATACACAGAGAGAAGGCCACACAACCAGGGTAATGGTTCTACTTCTCCGAGGCCGTCAGAGTCTGCACTATGTTGTTTACTGGCATTTATGCTTCTAAATAGAGCCTCCTCAAGCCTCCTGAATGGTGGAATTTCAGGTGCATCATCAGGCAGTAGAAGCAAGATTATTTTTAGGGAACAAGCATTCTCATTGCTCTATGAAAAATCAATCTGGCTGCTTCCACAGAGAAGTTCAGCTTGAGATTCTGAGTGGTTTTTCATTTCGGTTGCTTTTATATTTTTAAGAGAATATTGAACTGTTACCACGGTGACATTTCATAATCACAGAGTCTGGGGGGAAAAAAGCGCCATAGTAGCAAAGCTAGAGGAACCGTAGGTTTCTGCATAAATCACCAACAGCTTTGACGGTGCTGTCCAGTTTCCATGTGCTGTTTACTCTAAAAGACCAGGAGACAAAAGTTCCAGGGGACTACCACATCCTGGAAAACCAAGGCAGCAATAGAAAATTATCGATGTCTTTGAATAATCTTGAAATTGTACCTCTTTATTCCCTTTCTTTTCTTAAAACTAAGTGAGCTATTACTTATGGAGCATTTTAATTTCTGACCCTAGAATAAAGAGGAAAAAAAAAAGGTGAGGGAGGAAAGAAAAGCTGAATTTAAACATGATGCATTTCCATCCCCCAAATGCAAGAAAAAAAAAAATGGCTTGTCAGTTCTGCTTAGGAGGTGTGAGGAGGAAACTGCAGTTCCGTTCCCAGCTATGCCAAAAACTAGCAGTAACCTTAGGAAAAGAAAAGCTAATCATTTTGCTTATGAACACATGTAGGGAGCAAGCATTTTAGAATAACCTCGGCTGCAAATTGGGTTTTACTTTGAAAAATGGTTCTATTACTTAGCTAAATAAACTTAGAGGAGCCTGTTTTACCCCCACCCCATTAGAGCATCGCATTTCTCAATACTGCATGATTAGTTCTG